ACACGGAGTAAAGACCGATGGATCGGGCACTAACCCAACCACAGTGGCCTTTATAGTAGCAACCTTCTCATTAAAATAAAATAAAAACTTATTACATAAATCAACCGTTGCTTCCTGACAGACAGGCTGCGGGGGATTTAACACCATCCCGATTGTGTTATATAATACACGTGAATCATGACTATTAGCTACAACAATACTGGACAAATACTCCCGCTTCGCTTCTTCCACAGTCCTCTGATAGTTGCGCCAACAGTCCTTCAAAATTTGCAGTGAAATTTGCAGTCCATCCTTCTTCCACCTTCTTTCAGCTTTGCGGCACTTCTGTCTGGCCACACAAGTTCTAGTGCCAAGCCAGGGTTCCATCCTAGTTTTAGGCCGCACGATTTTCATCGGGGCCACAGAGTCCAGTATAAGGCTGCAAGAGGATTGAAACCAAGCGCACAGCCCCTCCGTATCTCCAGCAGCCTTGTTAGAAGCAATTGCCTGTTCAAACGCCGTGCTAAACAGACCGGCAGTGGATGGGTTCAGTACACGACGGTGCCGAGCAGGCGCCGGCAGGGCACCAGCTGTACAAAACAGTTTTGCCTCAAAAACAATAGACGAATGGTCAGAAAAAGCATTCGTACAGATATTTAAATTAGTGACAGGCACACCATATGAAAGAACAAGGTCTAGCGTGTGTCCCCGCTCATGTGTAGGACCAGACACACACTGCGTCAGCTCAAAAGCATCAATAGTAGTTAAAAACTCCCTCACCAGTTGTTTATCAGGGCAACACACATGTATATTAAAATCACCCAGTATAAGAAAACGATCATAATGAGGTCTAACGCTGGCCATAAAATCTGCAAAGTCATTCACAAAGTCCTTGTTATATCTCGGTGGCCTGTAAATGACAGCACACAGTACAGGATCCGAACGACCCACCTCAAGTAAAGTCATTTCAAAACTCAAAAACGTAGGCAGGGATAAAGTGCACTGCCTAAAAAAATGGGTTGCTTTAAAGACACGCTGTCCCTCCACCACGGCCCGATAAGCGTGGCGAGCTAAAAAAAGAACAACCCGCCGGCAGGAGGTCCGTAAAAGCACTAAAATCCCCGGCATCCACCCAGGTCTCTGTGAGAAATAGAAGATCCAAATCCATGGAGGTAAAAAAGTCCCTCAAAATAAAGGTTTTGTTCTTCAGCGAGCGGACATTCACCAGGCCAAACCTTGCGAGGTCCCGGGCTTGCGGTACCACCGGTTGTGAAACTGGTCGAAGTGGCCTCAAAGCACAAAGATCCACCCCACGCAGGTGAAGCCGCGAGGGGCAAGGCCCACTGGGCCGCGGGCCCCCACCACCACCCACAACATACACCAGGTAGCCGTGGTTAGGATCCAGTACACGCCGCGGCACCATAGACCCGGGGTAAGGTCTCCAGCCCCTCCAGGGGCTAGACGAAAAGTATGTAAGATGAGTCTTTAGTCTCACCAACCGCCCACTACGCCGGCCACGCCGACGAAAACGTTTCCGCCAGGGGAACAAGGCCGAGGCCCGGAGCAAGTAAGCCGGGATCCCCGATAAAACCGGGGGAACAGTTCCTCGTCCGTCACGTCCAAGCACACATAGATCCCCGCCCTTAGATTGAAGGTCCAAAAGGAACCGGCGATCGTACACCAGCAGAGACTCCGTCCTTGATACACTGACAATTAAAAACGCCACAAACAGCAGCCAGAATGAGAGCAACAGACGACAAGAGGCAGCTCAGAGCACACGGAGTAGAAGGATTGAATATTAAGAGTTTGCTCAGTTATGGTGGGTATGTTATTGGTTTTCTTGCGAGAAACGGATTGATTGATAAACAGAATTTAATGGTGAGGTTATTTATCCCCTAAAACAAGGTGATAAATAACTGCGGTCCACACTCCAGCACAGCAGGTGGCGGTAAAGTTCCTCAACGATGCCATACGCCATTAAATAGAAGATGGTGAAGAAGAACCAGCAGCAGCAGAAGAAGAAAAATAAATGCTCCTTGTTAGTGTCACCAAGTGTAACTAGTAATACCTTTTACTACTACTACTGTCTCGCTCGACGGCGTAAAAAGCAGGTGGAAAGTTTTGGTATAGCCCTAGTGGAAGTAGTCAAAACCCACATTTTCCACACACGGCAGTACAACCGCGTTTATTCTCTGAGGAACAGAAGGTCTGACAATGGTGCTGAAATACTGCCAGCAGCGACTCAGACCTTTTGTTTATAACCACCCAGAACAACGGCATAACATTTGTTTTACTGAAGATAGAGTGAACAAGTCTTCACTCCGGCCGACTTTGACAGCCGTTAACATATCGCCGTGCTCCCGGTGTGCCACCGCTCCAGCGTCCAGCATCTGTACGAGGCCTCTATGGAGGGACCGAGGACCGGGGTACGGATGCACCGCTGCTGGCAGTCAGATGTCTGGAAGAGGTAACTGGGGACACACAGCCTTAACTAACGGTGTGTAAACAAGGCGGTTCGTGAGATGAATGTCGCCAGTTCTTTTACATGGATGATATGAAATACGTTTTATATTGTTTTGATCTTTAAGTCTTCTAATACAAAATACCAAATAACAGATGGGTTATTATTATAAATATGATGATGATGGAAAATATAAAGGAAGGGAGAATTGCTGTTAAGTATATATTCCACTAAAATACAAAAGTACTATGACCAGTGCGAAATATGTTTAGTGGCTTCGAGACATACAAAAGACATCGAAAAATACCTAATTATTTATGTCATAGATGCTGAAAAAGGTACATGAATACATAAAAATGACAGTGGAAAAAAAGTTGTGCAGTTAATTTTTAAAGCTTTAAAATATGCAGACAGATTGACTGCAAAAAAGAAAGGAATGGGAAAGAATTGATTCTGAAAGTGGTGTATCTAAATCCCCCCCCCCCC